AAGCCGCCGTCGGGAAGAAAGGCGCATCCATGTAATTTAAGTTTTCTTATATTAAGCTCCCTGAAACCACCCTCATAACTCCGTTAACAGAAACGCTCGGCAAATTTGGAAAGCAGATTCGAACTCAGCGTCCAAAAACACGTCCAGCAGTGTAGGTCTCATTTCAAATGGCCACTTCGACTTGGGATCCTTCCCTGGTTAGTTAAATGAGCAAATTGGATGAAAAAATCCCAAAAATCTTATAGTTTAAAAAGTTTTTGTCCTTTCTTCGATTAACTTACTGAATCGATATAATTGGTGTGGAGTATGTAGTGAAGCAAAGAGCATATGATTACTAGAACTTGGCTATGTTCTCGTTGGGACGTTTCTGCTCGATTGATAATTTTTTCTATTAGTTCAATAAGGAACTCTCTGACGTTCTTTCCGTTTGGGTGGCGTAAATCTGCAAATAAATTTCTCTTCCTTGTTACATTCGAGCGCTACAATAGCGTGTACGTACCCATTTTGTAAACAGCTGAGTTTGGAATGTTAGGGTTAAACCACGGCAGTAAAGTATTTGGAGAAAGGTGTAGAGGAGATGGAGGCATGGAGAAGCAAGTAGCACCTCCAGTAAAAACCGAATTCATTATGGTGAACGCTTTCTTGAGCCTTTCTCTGGAATGTTGGTATCATTGTACATGAGCTTGTTGTCATGATAACACAAGGGTCATTTCTGTGGGCTGTAATGCAAGGATAACTTTGGAAGGCCGAAAAACGTGTGTTCTCAGAGGAAACCAAGTTTCCGAAAGTCTCCTGAGGCTGTATGAATCTTTGCGGTAGGCCAGCGCGCAACCGTAGCTTGGCGCAATATTCCTCTGTCTTGNTCTGTCTTGGTTCGTCCCTAATTATCATACAATCCAAGAAGTGTGGCACAACTCAACTAAAAGGGGTGTGGGAGCGACTACTACCTGTTCTCTCAGCACTTGCAAAAACTTATTCGATATCGATTTGATTGAATCGGTTCAGAGTGATCCTACCATCAATTTCACTTATTCATTGATTGATATCGACTAGATGGTATCTGCAGGTAGTGGTTGAAGTGGATTGAGATGACACATCCACATCCTTATGTTCATTTAGGCAGAGATTTAACTTGCCTAAGGCCAATTGGGTAAACAGGCTTTATAATTGGTAACCTAAAGGGCATGGATCAAAAGTGAAGATACATCTGAGTGGGGGCTGTCTGTCATTACCTTCCCATTGCACAACAGCTTCCTATGCCATGAAAGTTTCAGGCTCCCAGAGCTAATTAGATTGACCCCCTTTTTTTAAAAGAGACGGAATTTGCAGCTGCTTTCATGATGAGTTACCTGGATCGAATCGTTCAGTATTCGTGCATTACCTGTCTACGTGCACTGTTTTTATCTCATCCATGATAGGGAAAAGAAACTTTCTCAGAATTTCCTCGATGACAGCTTTTCCTCTTTCATTCGGAATATGCCATGCCATTTTGATCTCACTCAGTTTATACAACCGGGACCATTCCTAAATATCCACTGCTGTATGACTACCTATCAATCAGTGCTTGAACTTCATTATCTTACCCGAATAGGTACCCATTCCTTCAATGGCCTATTCAATTTCAGTGCCATGTACCGGGAGCTTTCCGGATATACTCGAGAAAGCCTATATAGACTGTTCCACAATCCCTGCGCTCCACTCTTCAAAAGATGTTTTTACTAATATAATATGTGGCGCTAGGTGTATGTAATCTTGTGAAACCTACGATGTATGCCACTTTGCTCTTGCATTTCACAAGCAGATCAATCATCTCAAAGCAAATGTCCTTGTATTGAATATAGTTCTGAAAGGCTCTCACGAAGAATCTTTAAAATGAGAAAACGCATGTTGTTACCTCGCTAGTCGTTGATAATAGTGATGATGCAAGAGAAACGAACCACGACGCTGACACATCTAGATCTTCGGCTTGCATAACGTCTGCTAAAACATCTCATGCATTTCAGTTTTGCGCCAAACGTTTCCAAAATTTGATTTCTTAACTAGAATGGCGTTTCTGTTCAGTGAAACTGCCTCGGTCACTCTAAAGCCAATTACGATGGTCCCTATATGTCTTGGTATTTCAGAGGAATTTAACCCATTGACGACCATCACGTTTGGCAGGAGAAGTGCCGCGAGGGACTGGTGCGCTTTTCGTCCACCCGCGACTGCAGCCCGCATGTGGACTACATGATCCAACATTACCATTTTTTGAAGTTTATAAGAGAAATTCATAAGTTTTTCGGAATACTCCTTCAGATGGGTTTGGTAACAATGCTCACATTGAGTGATTATTGATCTTTATTTTAGAACCGGCACTCAGTCTAATGGTCATTCAATTATGAGTTCAACCATTACCAGAAAACGTTTCGGGGAACTTTTACGAGCTTTGCATTCGGTCTATGACAGCGGATATGCCAATGGCGACCGTCTTTTCGAGTTCTCCCCTACTAATTTCCTTGATTCCAGTATCGGTGGCAACGCAACTCATTCGATCAGTGGTAGCCTGGGATTCTTCATCGATGGTCTATATTCATGAAGATGAAAAGAGCCATAGATAATGAATTCTGGTAATGATTTTACTATCAGTCGACAACATCAATAAGAAGCGCGAGAATGTTGAATAATCATATCATATCTATCTCATAATCATATCTATTATATATTATAGCAAAGAACAAAACGAGTAGAATAGACAGCTAATTTTTATCAGCTTTTCCACAATTCCCCATGAAACAGAAACTGGGCCAAGATTGTCGCAATAAAGCTCCTACTTCGCTGTATCCTTAATCGATGCTACTAGTACTTGTCCTATTAATAGAAGACGATAAATCGAAACGGTGCAAAAGACGAAGATCACCCTTCATAATGGTGCGACGACTTACGTGTTAAGACGATCCTCAGGTTTCGAAGTACATGTTCAGCAAAGGAAATCCAGATTGATGGCAACTCCTAAAATATAAGAATCTCCATGTTGCGCCAACGGATGGTGGTCATAAGAGTGCTTTGGGATTAAAAAGCTCAGAGTGAATAGCATACGTATGTCATGGACGCCATCATAGAAGCAATCATATCTGTTGCGAGAGAGCTTTCGAACTGATTCGTTTTGACGAACAGCAGCATCTTCTGACCAAGCTTCTGCAACTTTACGCTGACTCTGCTGTCAAAAAGAGCACCGTTCAAGATTTACTGTAAACAGCCCGTTTTCTATCGGAGCAGATTAATCACTCTACGTTTCTGTGCGTGTAACAACATTATCTCATACTTAGCAGGAAAAGTCACATGAATTGGATTTCTGCCCATCAAACATTCTAACCCTGTAACTTCAGTGTGGGCGCGGTTTATATTGTAGTATCCGATCAGATATGTGCATTACGCGCCGAAACCTTTGTGATTATTAGGTTTCCCAGACCTCTCAACTTCTTCAGGTACTGAGGCGTGTACTTCATGTATTAGGTTGGCAAATAAGTCGTGCGACAAAAAAATTGAAGCGTTGAAAATTTGTGTCAACAGTGTGAACACGGTAGCAAGGGTGATAGACTTGTAGGAAATTCCTCAGGCAATCAACACATAAGTAAATAAGGACACGAGTGTGGGCTTTCGCAGCATTACGGTCAATAAATGGACAACACCCGATTCGTACCATCACCTTATACTGAGCACTCCAGGGAAAAAACGCGGGTGTAGCGGCTCGAAATATCAGCAATCTATTCGATGCTAGCACTGCTCACCGATCGACGGTCAACAATCGGTTGGATCGCTTCACTGCAGAAGATACCAGCCTTCGGGGTAACGCAAGCATCGTCCCCTAATTTAATGGATGTTGAAAGAACTCATCCACTATTAGTTGCTAAACGCAGACTGGATGGACACAACTATCGCTTGCCCCTATGATCCCCTTCATTTGGCCAACGGGGTAAGAGAAGGGCGATCAAAGCGTAATCAGCCCCATACAGAGGGACAACGCACCTCGAAAATTCGCTTTAGACCCACGTCAAAAGTTCACCGACTTATTTGCCAAGACTTATTTGCCAACTTAATAGATGCAATTACTTTTCATATGGAGCTTAAGTGCATGGCGCGATCTTCTAAACACTCCAGGGTACATGCTTGTAGAGCTTGAAAAGCTAAGTTAAACGATGTCAATCCCTTGAACACTCCACTCTGAACCGACTCGCGGTGAAGAGACGAAAAAGACGCGAGCTCGTGGTATTCGCTCGAATTCGCGAGTTCTCGCGGCGAGTACTGCAAAGGTGTAGCAATCCTTCACTTTGGTCCATTCTGATTGCTTGATTCTATTATCAGTTCTTTATGGGGTTCTGTATATTTCATTACTTGCTCTCATAGAGTGTACTGTGCTTAGTTTACTCCAATGCTTTGCTAGTTCATTTTATCGTCTGAAAGTTACTTCAAATCACATATCTCATTTAGACATCACTTAACCATTGATGCCCTCGAGCAATGACCACCATAATTGGTTCTGTGATTATGAATAGCTTATCGGAGGATTAGATGAATGCGAAATTCTTTGCTGACTGGAGTGCCTAGAAATACATACCGAAGTAATGGGGTCATCCGCGTTCTTGAAGATTGCGGCTACGCAACGATCAATTGCCTTTTTAAGAACTTTTTCTTCACTTCCCTCCTTTGTAGCAAGATCCTGGAAAATATCTAGTAAGTGCATCATTAACCGCTCTCCGATTTCTACCTGCTTAAGAAGCAAGAACTTCCAATAATCTACTTTGTTAACTCAGAGATAGTTGACATCTGAAGATCAATAGCTAACACGGAAGTGCTCTAACACGGGAACTATAAGTGGCGTTGTTAAAAAGCCGGCAAACAACTGATTGTGATGAGAAGTCATTCACCCGTTCAAAGACGACAGGTTCATGATAACATTGAGTTACCCTTTTCAGAAAAGTTTCAGTACAGTGTGGAGCAACGATGGCGAAAGAAGCGCGAAAATCTTCTCACTTAGTCAAGTATAAGGAAACTTCAACATATCAAAGTACGGGGTTGTTCAAGATAGTTAGACACAAATGGTATGATTGAGGTATTTGAATGTGACTTTGGGCGTACGCGTTTTCGCAAAGTGCTGGCTGCAGTATGCCAGCATTGCCAAAGACTTCTTACTGCTGTGGCTATGGTTCACCGTTCCAGACAATCGGCTCTCTGAAGTTTCTGAATATATGTATGCCCCCATTGCAAACAGTACACCTTACTCAAAGACGTCGAAGGATGGTCACTTCTAGATGCGGTAAACGATCAAGACAATGTTCAAACCCTCAAACCTTCCTTCGAAATGACATCCAATCATTTGGGATATAAGGTTTCATCGTGGCCTGTGCCTCAAGCGTGCTCAAATTTCATCACCCGAAGTCCTTAACATTATATCGACTCTGGGTCTCCAGCATGGAAACTTGAATGTCGTGAGTTCCGTTCGACTTCATAGAACAGCTGGTGTGGCGTACATCACGTTCCCACTGCGAAAATATGCTGCAGAGAGCGAGAGTACGCTGCGTGGCTGTGCTAAGAACTCTGGCTGCTTATGCCATCATGCGTCGAGTGCACATTCATTCGTAGATCGCCGTAGCCTCCGCGGGAGCCTTGTCGCCCTTCCTCTTCCTGTGTGGGTTCTTCGTCATCACCGCTGATCGCAGCTCTATAGGCTCCCAAGCATCTTTTTATTGCCATCTTCTGTTGTGCATTGCTGTCGCAAACAACCTCACGCCAAGAGAATCGAAGCAATGGTTCGCAGCCAAGGATGGACCTGTGAGCAGCAGTACCACAAGCAGGATGGGAGGGTTGGACAGCCCGACTTGAGTGTGGGCAGGATCGATAACTAATCATGAACTTATGTAATCCACTGAGGCGTGCTTAGCGCACGTAGAATGGATAGTCATTTCCCACCTGGCAATCATCCTGGGATGTTCGGCTGAACATATCGCAGGCCCTTGGAAACCACGCGTCCAGCGCATGAGGGAGCTCGACGCTGCACGAACATCCCCCAGCGTACTGCGGAAGTAGCAACATTCCGTAGGAAGGCTGTAAGGGCACTGGGGCAGCTAAGGCTTACCTTGTCCGTATGATAGATGGTTCCGAGCATTAACCAACGGGCGAAACGCTCCAGCCACCTGGTCGTGCCGCTTGGATCGACCTTCCGAGCAACCATCGAGCGAAAAGGACTCGGCGAGGCGGTCCGACAGCGCGACAATGAACCTCCTATGAAGAAGACTACGAAGATCCGCTTTCTCGCTGTGTGATTATTGAGGCACCGAACCAGAATGAAGGTGCAAAAAATCTAGGCGGCTAATAAATTGCCTTCGTTATCAAGCGGCTGAATACCAAAGCAAAAGGGCGATTCTAACTGATATGGAATTGGTAGGAATGTTGTTTGTTCATCGTGTTTTTCACGCGCATTACAAATCTGGCAGCTCTCGTCAGCTGACTAGCAAAGGACTGATGAACTGGAGAACCTTCGTGAGCTCAAATATCTTACCTTGAAGCTTCCTATCACGGAAGAAGAATCCTTTGGCGCTGTCACCGATAGGCATTGAATAATATTGAGCATTCTATAATGGTTTCCGTTTTGGTTTTGCATGCAATGTTAAAGAATTGTTATTCTTTGAGGTTCTCAATTTAAGTGCAACAGTGCATTCTTCTGGAGTACACCGCGAATTCTTTTGTGAACAGCTCTTCTCTTACACTCCTGCACTTTTCACTAGAAATACGATAATGCTGCTGTACCGGTGCACCGCCCTTACAAGACTAACTGTGGTGGTGCTACAAGAGAGGGGACGTTCGTGCAGCCCTAGCTCGATAGAGGGGAAAAGTGCCGCCCAGCTTATATTATTCTCTTCCATCCTCATGCCCATTGCTTGCCTACTTTTCTTCTTCTGCATCCTCTGATTTCATGCTATCGTACCCTTTTACTTTTTTTCATTTTACCGTTTCGATTTCTGCAGGAGAGCCAATTTTCTTGGAAAGGAAATAATCGTTAAAGTCCAATTTCCTAGCATCATTCGAACACACCTGTCTAACGCCATTTCAGCAAGTATTGGAAGCCTGGCCGACAGTTTACAGAGAGCTTTTTCGTCTTCCGTCAGATCGTGATATTTGATACAGTCGGAGTAATCGAGTATTGGAAGCACGTAAAAGATCAAAGTGATGTTCTAAAAGTACAGAAATCCCGGTAGTAACTTTTATTTGAATTCTGCTGACATGGTGCACAAGGGTAGACGGTAGAGGTAGCAGTGAAGTGTTACTGTGATTTGCGCTGTCACTATGAATAGTTATGAAATCGATAGTACCACTGAGAGATGCGGGAATCACGAGTAAGGGAAAAACAATGTAAGAATCTTTTTTCATTTTCGTCGAACACCAGCATCAAGTACTGTTTGATCAAATTGAGAGCGAGAGTAGACTTTAATTAAGTGGAGGTCTTGATACAAGCCTCCCGCCAAAACAACTGCCGTTTTCGAGCAATTACTTTCTAGAATCGGAGGCCGTTGCACTCAGAAGTAGGACTTCGACATTGCTAATCTCACCTGAATAGCAATATTTGCTTTGTTGACATCGTTGATGTCTATAGCTTCTATCAGCATTTCTAAAATGTAAAACAGGTGACACCGATACGTTTTTATGTAGTCTTCAATGTTGAATTCTAAGCCTCGGTTAAGCTTGCTGAGAGAATATTTCTCGACGGGTGAATTTGGTGATCGGATCTGGAAGTATTAATAATAAATCCAACATTATTGGCCCAGGTTTCCACTCACAATAGTATAGGATTTTCTAGAAATTGTGTAATAGGTTCACTACATGTCTGCTTGAGTATTTTGAGCTCAAAAATGTTCTGGATTCTTCCTCTTCGGCCGAGAACCCTCTATGAGCAACGCATATGCATTTCTGGGCATAAGAACTGACCAAGGCGGAGATGGTGTAGTGGCAAGTGGCGCACTACATCACACGCACGGTCAGGAGTTCTAATCCCGGATCGATGTCCGCCTAGGCCATCCAAGCCTTCCATTCCTCCAGGGTCGATGAGTTGGTACCAGACTTGTCTGAGAGGATAAAAGCACTGACTTGTACATCGGCTGGCCACTGCCATTGTATAGACCACATACGCACTCACTACGCCACCGATCCTGATGTCGAGTGCGGAGGGATTGATTAGCGCCAAAAACGTTGTTGTAACTTTATGAAATGACCAACTTAGCAGTGAACGGCTGCTTCTTGTTTTGCAAATTCTGCTTCACAGCTTTTTCGCGCAAGTACGAAATCCCAATCCCAAATTGATAGGGATCTTCAATCTCTTCGAGTCCGTTATGTAATATCAGACCTATTTCAGAGTAAAGCGCTGACTGCTTCATTGACTGACCATTGCAAGTAACTGTATATACCGTGTAGGCATTAAAAATGCAACTACGATTCCAAAATCTACTTCAGTGCTAGGCGCATCCCAAAATCATTACATTCGGGTGTCTACAATAACAGTGATCGCAGAATTATATAAACTGCAAGTCAGAGCGCTAAAAGCTTCACGGTTTAGCTGAACTCATTTCGTTGCAGAGGGAGCTTTGATAGATCATGACTGTACGTGTACGAATCCCTCGTAGGTCGCTTCGCCCATAGCCCTTCACCCTAATGAATCCATCAGAGAAAACCTAAACAACCTCTTCCATTTTCCATATCCAGTTCTTCTCTACTGGGCTCCGTTGTGGGCTCGAACTACTGTCTTCAGCAATGAGGAATACCAACTCAAACAAGCAGTTCAGAGTTTGTGTCAAACGGTGGGGTTCGTCAACAGCAAAAATGGCAGAGTATATGCTGCAAATACTTGATTGAGCAAGTGCCTGATCACTAATCATAAAAATGTCTGCAAGGAGCATCTTCTTACTGTTCCAACACTTTCGGGAGTACCCTGCCGGGACATAACGCGCACAGTATCATCACTAATTTGGGTGGAGTCTGAAGCAATTTCGCACATTATCAGATTCAACAGGTTTTCGCACAATATGAAGATAAACATGAAACTTAAGCTAGCATTTTTCATTCATTAATTGCTAACAAATCATTTCCTTACTTTAGACGTCGCACTATCTTTTGCATACAGTGCATAAAGTAGTGAAGGCAGTATAGTATCTGTGAATTTCGCAATATCATCGTCTGTCAAGTAATACGTCTGCGGAACCTAAATTGATTCTCTATCATAATTCCAATCATTTGTCGATGTTCTAAAAATTGAAATATTGAGATAATCCAATGCCCAAAGTCCGCACTTATTCGTTTTACACTTGTTGACAAACCTTTCTCTTGTTCTTTTTTACTCTTTCTTCCTTGTATCGGTTGACCATCTCTTGCAGAAGGTTTTGAAGAAACACCAGTACGAGCAATGTGTGGCTGCTTTCATTTGACGGATGCATGAAGGGCTCCACCAACTTCATCATCCGCTCGAGATGACGCTGGCACCTAAATGTAAGCCATGGGCCAACAAGGATGTAAGGGCATCGGGTAAAGTACAGGTGTTATACCATGATACCCTAGAGTCCGCACTTAGGATGAAGAGAACTGCCCCTTTCCACAAAAGTCTCTTCACTTGCACTTTTCGACGCACGATGTGTATGTATGTGTACATGTATGTGCATGTGTGCACGTATGTATGTGTATGCATGTATGTATGTATGTATGTATGTATGTATGTATGTATGTATGTATGTATGTATGTATGTATGTATGTANTGTTATATTCCATTTAAGGGGCAATGACTTAGCGCAAATAGGGTACCGGTGTGAAGGTATCATGAACGACGATGATTGTTATCAACTTATAATACCTGTTGTCGCAGTCAGATTCAGTCGTCTTAAGGGACACCTGGAAGCCGGGCCCGCACTCAATGTGGGTTGGCTTGTACGCTAGCGCAAAAAGTTTGGAGGTTGGAATGGTTCGACATACTTGAGTAGGGATAGTGTTCAACCGCAGTTTAGTGTGGTCATCCATGTATTTGAGAACACTTACTGCCACTGTTTTTGTAGTAGTTTCTCAGATCTTACTTACTCATCCGTGCTTGTGTTCATCCATTTATTTTGTTTCAATTATTAGCAATATCCAGATCGATTCATGTAGTAGTTTTGTAAACTCGGTGTTGTGATAGTGTTGTGGCCTTCTTGTGCCTCATAGTACTGTACTATGGCAGAGACATGAAGATTAACGCGAATTCACGTTAGATGGAGCTGAAGGGTCCGCAAGGTCTACCGAATCCGCGTGGCACTGGGTGTAGAGCATTGGCCAGTGTGCATATGTACCCGGTCATTCCCACTACTTGTCGGCCGTACCTCGAGCGATTGAGCGATGCAACGCGAGCTCGGTCAGGGCGCACACGGCGTGACAGTTCCTGAAGAATAAAAAATCCTCACCCTTTGGGTCCTCCAAGTGTTGCAATAATCATCCGTGCTAATCCGCCCAAAATTTCTGCTGAGATGGTGCTCTGCACCTGAAAATAGGTTGCGGAAATCGATCACTTTAGATAATGAGGGTTTTTAGTTAATCCGCTACGGTGCTTCAGAGCAGTATGTGAAGCGTGAAATCAAGGAAGCTGCTTTGGAAGATCTAATTTTCATGTGGCCTTTGTCGAGTCTAAGCGGTGCCTACTTGCTTGCACCTACAAAACCTGGCTGCCTTCGAGGCTGATTCGTAATGCAGAGTGGACATTTTCTAAAACTTTTTAAAACTTTTTCTTAATTCCGCTCTTGATCGGTTGCTATTTTTCTTTTGTCCTCTCTTTCTTTTCTTTTAGTTTTTTAACACTTCTCACTCATCATCTACTTTTCTAGAACGGTTGTTTTTCCTCACCAGAGTTTTACCTAATTAATTACTCTGCTACTCAATCTCCATAAACAACCAACGGTCTTTTTGCCTTTTACTTATTCTGCTCAATTTTCATACTAGGCAGTTCTACTGTTTTCTTAATATTTTTCAAGTGTTAAGTAGGTAATCGTGTGAGCTCCAAATTCACCTTGAACCATGGCGATTATTGTCACCCTTAACAGATTTTATTTGTTTGGCCCTATCCTTCGATGAGTGACTCTCGAGGGTAGGAAAAAAACCAAGTTATTCGTCTGAACTTAGGCGAAATGATCGCTCTCTTCATTTAGTTAGCATTGCCCATAGAAGTAGTTTTACTTTTAACCCATTGACGACCATGCAGTCCACATGTGGACTGCAGTTGTATTTTTTGTTTTATTCATCTAAGTTTCCATTTTCTTTCAATTCTTTTCCTCAAAACACTACATTAGGCCTAAATGAAACTACATACAGCGTG